TCTTATTTCTATTTATTTGTTTGTTTGTTTGTAAAGAGACAAGGTGTTGCTTCCTTGCCCAGGCTGGAGGGCAGTGGTACAATCATAGCTCACTGCAGCCTCGAACTCCTGGGCTCAAGTGGTCCTCCCAACTCAGCCTCCTGAATAGCTGGGACCACAGGCATATATCACCACGCCTGGCTACGTTTAAATTTTTTGTGGAGACGGGTGTCTCCCTATGTTGTCCAGGCTGGTCTCGAACTCCTGGCCTCAAGTGATCTTCCGAAAGTGCTGGGTGTGTGAGCCACCGCACCAGGCCCTCTTTGCCTTTTAATAGTTAATCTCCTATTAATAAGTAAATGATTCTTTAATTGAACTTTCCTCATTCAAATGGCTGGGTGCTTTCTGTCTCTCGACTGGATGCTGAGCGATATACTCCCCGTTCCTGGGAGTCCCATTGTCCTGCTCGTCACCCTGAGAGTCTTAGCCCTACACGTTGGTGCTGGAGCTCCTATTATCTTATCCATACAGGGAGGAGGGTTCTCTGCTCTTCACCCTAAGAAATGAGCCCTGGGGGTGGCTCTGTGTCCTAGATTTAGTCTGGGGGGGTTCCCACATCAGAGACTATATCCCTAGAAATCCTGATCTCCCACTTGAGAGGGGTCCCCATATCCAATGTTCTGCCTTGGTGGGGTCTCTGTGCCTCAAACTCAGAACTCTGCTCTCTGTCCCTGTCCCTGGGATCCCAGTCTCTCCCCTGCCCTTTGGTGCTAGTGTCTGAACCCCAAGCCTAATTCCACGCACCAGCGGTCAGCTCACCATGGCCCCCTAGGCTGCTGCTCTTGTATTCTAAAGTCTTATAGCAGCCTCACCTATTCACTTATATAGTCTACAGCTGCTTTCATGCCACAGTGGCAGAGTGAGTAGTTGGAACGAGACGATACAGCCTGCAAGCTGACACATTTACCATGTAGCCCGTATCAGCAAAGGCGCGCCTGTCCCTGCCTTATACCGAGGGTCTCTGACATCAACCCTGAGAAACCTCTGAGGGTCCCCACAGCCTGGATTTTCCCTAAGGGTCCCTGCCTCCCACAGTAGGTGGCCCCGGCCCTGTGAAACCCAGCCCAGGGGTCTCCAGGTCTGCGACCTCCATCATTAGTCCTGTGCACCTCCCGCCATGGACACCCCAGTCACATCACCCTCGGCCCCAGAGTCCCTGTACTCCATCCGTAGTCACATCAGCCCCAGTCCCAGCCCAGCCCAGCACCTTTGGTGATGCAGCTTAGGACGCCTCCGGAGGGCTGGCACACCTGCCCCGGCTTGCAGCTGTGTTCCTGGCACAGCACACCTTTACCCGCATGGCACGTACACTGCTGCCGACAGTCGTCAATGAGGACTGTTTGCTCCGGCTGTGGGGAGAGAGGGCATGGCCATCAGACATCACGGGTGGGAGCCGACTCTCACATCTCTGGCATTCTGGGCACAGAGGGGTTTGCAGACATCACAGACAAGGGACATCTCTCAGCAGGATGGCCCCCTGTCTGTGAAGCTGAGGCACAGCCTGGGTTTGGGGCCGTCATTCCTTTGTACATTTGTTCATTCACTTTTATTCATCAACTCATTCATTCCAAAATATCCGCTCAATCTCTGCTGTAGGAGAAATGGTGTGACATAGTAACTAAGGGCAGATCGCCTGAGCTTGAAGTCAGTTTCTGCTGTTTCCAAACTCTGTGACTCTGAGCAAGTTACTTCACCGCTTTATGGCTCAGTTTCCTGATGTGCCAATTGCAGAAAATAGTAGCGCCTGTCTATGGAAGTAAAATTCAGATAAAATGTAAAATTCAGATAAAATGAAAAGGGTAGGCCGGACGCGGTGGCTCATGCTTGTAATCCTAGCACTTTGGGAGGCCGAGGCGGGTGGATCATGAGGTCAGAAGACTGAGACCATCCTGGCTAACACGGTGAAATCCCATCTCTACTAAAAATACAAAAAATTAGGCAGGTGTGGTGGCGGGTGCCTGTAGTCCCAGCAACTCGGGAAGCTGAGGCAGGAGAATGGAGTGAACTCAGGAGGCGGAGCTTGTAGTGAGGCAAAACCTCACCACTGTACTGTAGCCTGAGTGACAGAGCGAAACTCCATCCCAAGGGAAAAAAAAAAAAAAAAAAAAAAAGGCTTCCTTTAAAACATTCAGACAGGAGAGATATGGGGGGTAGACATCAAACAAGATTGGGAGTATGTGGCTTAGTTTTGAAGCTAAGTGATGGGTAAGTACATGGACAGTCATTTCACTATTATCTTAATTTTCGCATGTTTGAAAATTTTCAGAATAAAAAGTTTTTAGATATGTAATGTATATATAAAAATATGCACACATAGCACTCAAAACATTACGAGATACATAGAAAGCACTGTCTACAATTTTCTGTTATTATTACTATTATTTACGTGAGGGGAACAACAGAGAGAGGGTCCCACCCCGCGGAGAGCTCACAGTCCTGCAAGGGAGTCGGGCATTAGACAAATACATGCTCCAGTCAAAGAAGAAGGACCAACAGGGAGACAGTGGGAGAGGGAAGCAGAGGGTGTTAGCAGCTGGTGTAACAGATGAAAATCTGGTCTTTGTGGTCAGAAAGACTCCCTTTTTCCAGACCTGGAAGGCAAAGCCACAACTTGACCTGGGGAGTCAGGGGAGGGTTTAAAGCTTCAGAGTCCATGGTCATATTTAGAAAGATCTTTACCACTGCCATGTGGAGGGTGGACCAGAGGGAGCAAAAGTAGGAGCCTGGAGGGACCCAGGTGGGAGAGGACCAGCTGGACCAAGGGAGGGCCATGGGGAAGGGGAAAGAAGTGGGTACAAGAGACATTCAAGAGAGTGAGTGGACTGTGGTGGTTCATGCCTGTAATGTTCACACTTTGGGAGGCCAAGGCAGGAGGATCACTTGAGGTCAGGAGTTTGAGAGCAGCCTGGCCAATATGGCAAAACCCCATCTCTACCAAAAACCAAAAAATTAGCCAGGCATAGTGGCACACGCCTGCACTCCTAGCTACTCAGGAGGCTGAGACAAGAGAATTGCTTCAACCTGGGACTCCGAGGTTGCAGTGAACTTGAACCCAGGCAAGAGTCAGAGGTTGCACTCCAGCCTGGGCAACAGAGCAAGACTATGTCTTAAAAAAAAAAAAAAAAAAAAAGGTGGCTGAATGGGTCGGGCATGGTGGCTCATGCCATTAATCCCAGCACTTTGGGTGGCCAAGGTGGGAGTATGGCTTGAGGCCTGGAGTTCACAACCAGCCTGAGCAACATAATGAGACCCCCCCATGTCTATGTCTCCACAAGAAAATTAAAAACTCGCTGGGCTTGGTGGTGCACGCCTATAGTCCAGGTACTTGAAGGGGGGGTGAAGGATTGCTTGAGCCAAGGAACTTGGGGCGGCAGTGAGCTATGACGGTACCACTACACTCTATCCTGGGTGACAGAGTGAGACCCTGACTCAAAAAGAATAAATAAGAGACCAAGTAGGCTGTGGAGCTGATGAGCAGTGGGAGGGGTGAGGCCCCATATTCTGCCCCAGATGACTAGGTTCCTACCTCATAGTAGACACCATTGTGGTAGCAGCCACACTGCTGGATGGGCACGCAGGCTTCACCGTTGTAGAGGAAGCCGGCGTCACACTGGCAGCCTTCAGCACACCCATCTGGGCACTGCAGAGGGGCACTGAGAGCCGCGCAGCCCAGGGAGCAGGTGTCCGCGCAGAGCTCGTAGTGGCTGTTCGCTGGGCACTTCATGGCTGCAAGGAAGGGGTGCCCGTCAGAGCCCTGGGGAGGGAGGGGCTGCAAGGCCCAGGGTCTACCCTTCTGTGCTTCAACCTCTCCCCTCCCTGCCCCTCTGGCTCTCCCTCACTCACGACAGAAAGTTTCTGTCCTCCAGGGCTTCACGTGGCCTCCAGCCGCCTGGCAAGCACTCACATAGGCATGGATGTTGCTGCAGAGAATGCTCAGGTTCCCACCACCCAGGCAGAGATCAAAGACGCAATCTTGCAAGGGACCCTGGGGATCCACCAGCTTGTGGCAGGAGGCCAGCGGCCCTGTGGGGCTGGAGAGGAGCCCACAGAACTCCTCCTTCTGATACTTCTTCTCCTGCTCGGGAGGACACTTGCTGGTGTCGCAGCCCTCGCTCCCTGGCGGGCAGGTGGGTGGCGGCAGGCAGGGAGAGCCGGGCACCGCCTCCTCCCAGGAGTTGCCGAAGTCATTGGCGTTGCCAGCCTGTGAGCCGTTGGGCTTCTGGAAGTCATCCTTGGGGTCGCCGTTGTAGTTCCCACACAGACCACACATCAGCTGGTAGTAGTTTCCGGGGATGGTGACCCGCACATAGTACACAAGGTCGTAGGCCACACGCAGGCCGAAGTCGGTCTCAATCACAACGTCTGAACCATGCTGGGAGGCTCGGATCTGGCCGTTGGCCAGCACCACGGGCAGCTTCATGTCCACACCGTTCACCTGGGAGGCGAGAGACGCAGGCCACGCTTCAGAAAATAAACTTTGAGTGGGGGTCAGACCCTAGTTCAAGCCCATGCCTGATGCTGAAGAACTGTGTGTCCTCACCTCTTAGGCCCTCAGTTTTGTATTTATGAAATGGATATAATAATAGGGTCTGATATTGCATTGAATGGTGGTCCCCAAAAGACATATTCACCCAGAATCCCATAATGTGAGCTTACTTGGAATAAAGTTCTTGCAGATGTAATAGGATAATAATCTCAACATGAGATTGTCCTGGATTAAGCTGGGCCCTAAATCCAATGACAAGTGTCCTTATAAGAGCCAGAGAGAAAAAGACACAGACACACAAGAAAAGGTCACATGAAGATGAAGGCACAGATTAGAATGGTGTTGTCACAAGCCCAGAGAACCTGGAGCCTCCAGAGCTGGAAACGGAAAGCAAGATCCCCCACCCAGTGCCTTTGGAGGCGGTGCAGCTCTGCCGACACCCTGATGTTGAACCTCTGGCATCCAGGACTGTGGGAAAGTACATTGTACTGTTTTAAGCCACGAAGCTTGTGATAATCGTTATGGCAGCCACGGGAATCGAATACATGTCTCAATGAAGTAACAAGCCTCCAGCTATCCTTTATCTATCACTTGAGGCAGGCATTAATAAGCAATGATCGCCCCCAGAGCCACTTGCCCGAGTTCAAACAGTTTCCCCCTTACCCTCTTTGTGACCTTGGGCAAGAGAGTCACCTCTCCCTGTTTCTCTTTCCTCATCTTTCAGGCGAAAATAAGGTGTTTGCCCCACGGAATTGTCAGCCTCAGATAAATTAATGTCTGTAAAGTGCTGAGAAACATGGCTGGCATAGCATGCATGCTTCAGGAGCATCTGCCGTTACTAGCAGCTATGAATGGAGGTTTTTCTTC